TCCTGATACACGGCTATCAACTTTTATTGGGACCTGTGGGGACACTGTTAGGTGATTATTTCATTATTTCGCAATTTTATACTTTTATTGTTTCATAACCATACCCATTAGTTGGTTGCACAATTTAACCCCAGGACACTGGTTTTAGGATTTTCTGTATCAGAAAGCTTAAAGGCATGTGACAAAGCTAAGGAATTGTTGCATGGCACAATTGTACACATTTGTAGGCCAGAGACCTTGTTATTTTCAGTTTTTATTTTTTGGTGTAAGAATTCCTGTATGCCCTTTACCTACTTCATCAATTGTTAACATTTTGCTGTATTTGCTTCATCACACACTCTCTCATCATATACGTGTATATATGTGTATTATGTATGATGTATAATTATACATATATGTAAGTATAGACATAGTACCATTATCATTTGAGAGTAAGATATAGACATTATGCTCCTTTACTCCTAAATAGTTAAGGGTATATTTCCTGAGAACATAACCATAGTATCACTTATCAAAATTAGGAAATTGAATATTGATACAATGTTATTTTCTACTGCACGGTCCATATGCGACTTTTGTTAGTTGTCCCAATAATGCTTTACAGCTATTTTTTTCCTGGTCCAAGATCCAATCCAGGATCACACATCACATTTAATTGCCTTTTTAGTGGAGACTTTGGTTTTTCTCTTGCTTTTAACATATGTCATTTAAGACTACTAAAACCTATTTCAAATTACAATAATTCTGATGGCATTTTTAAAATATTAGAAATGTAAAATTAGGTAAAAATTTTATACCGAAAAACAAGTCAGAACTGACATGATGATTAAAATTTGCTGATTAAGAAGCCTCCATAAGGGAAAATAAGTTGAAGGGGTCGAGATTGATTCTTCATTTGTGTACAGAGCCCTGTTAGGACAGAAAAGCCAGCATTTCGTCTGTGATTTTGGGCTGCATCTCTCTCCCTCTCAGTGTTCTTATGCTACCCTGTGCTTCTCAAACCACATCTGGTGGAGGATCAGTTTTGTTTCTCTTGTTATCAGTGTTCCTTCCTATCTATCAAGGACTGATCCTTTTGTAAAAATACAGTAAATTCCTAGAAAAATGAAATAAAAATGGACACATGAAATTCACACCCATTTTTTTTAATTATTACATTCAACAGACAAACTTACTTTCTCAAATTGCTGCAAGTTTCTAAGTGTCTCATCCGAATTTCTCCTTATCTTGTGGCCCTACTCTGTGGCCCACACTTTGAGAAGTATTGGTCTATCTATATTGGAGCATGTACCACGTTTAGTCACTGCCATCTTTCTCACTGGAGGTGAGTCCTTATTGGTAATTTCATATCCCCAGAACCTGGAATAGGGGATTTTGCATCCCTGCACACTCTATGTGTGCATTTGAATGGGAACTAAAAAGTGAAGTACATGCAGAAGCATGGCCAAGTGAAAATAACTTGGGTTCTAAAGTCAGGTAATTTGACTGTAGAGACTCCACCTCTTCCCGTCTCGGTGGCTATTGTCAAGTTGTTTAAATCCTCTGTGCCTCGATTTTCTAATCTGTGAATGTGGATAACAGCATGCAATTTGGATCGGGAGGCACAGTGACACACTGCTGGTAAAGCACTCAGCACAACAATGGCTATTACTACCATTGCCACTTCAACTTCAATGCAAAGTCAAGTGCTAAAATCTCAGAAACAAACTACGGTCTCTACTCTCTCAGCAAGCTTCTACCATAAAGGGCCAGATTATAAATATTTTAGGCTTTGTGGGCCCTACGCTCCCTGCTGCAGCTACTCAACTCTGTTACCGTAGTGTGTAAGCAGCCATTTGCAATACGCAGAGGATTGGAGGTGGCTGTGTACTAATAAAATTTTATTTATAAACACTGACACTGGAATCACATATCACTTTCAAATGTCATAAAATATTATTCTTTTGATTTTTTTTCATCCATTTAAAAATGTAAAAACCATTCTTAGCTGGCAGGCCATGTAGAAACAGGCAGCGCGCCACATTTGGTCCTCTGCCCTTAGAGTGCCCACTCCTGTTCTAAACTCCTCCTGCCTCAATTCAGTTAAAAATGCCTGTTGTGTATTATAACCTTGAGTCTACAGGCTGGGAAAGAAGGTGGGAAAAATTCAATCTCCCATGGACTAAGGATTGTTTTTAATTTTTAAACTTCATTCTTTAATAATTTCGGATTTAGAAAAAAAGTTGAAAAAACAGTTCAAAGAATTCCTTCATTGATTTCCCAAATGTTAATATTTTGCCACATTTGCTTTCCTTTCTCAGGTTCTTTTCATGCCTGGAATACCAGCTCTGAAATACCATTTTTTTCCTCTCTCTCTCTCCACATTTTTTTCTGAATTGTTTGAGAGTCAGTTGCAAAGATCATGCCCTTTTCTAAAAACCAAGGATATTCTCTTACATAACCACATTAGAGTTATCAAAATCAATAAATTAATGTAAAATTATTATTTAATCTTTAGACCTTGTGCCATTATCAAAATCAGGAAATTAACATTGATGAAAGGTATTATCTGACTTACAGATCTAATTCTGATTTCATTAGCTGTCCCACTAACATCCTCTATATGCCAAGCATCTTATAGTCATGGTCTTTGGCAACTCCCCCAATTACCAGTGAATTTGATATTATTATCCTCATCTTACCAGTGAAGGAATTAAGGCTCAGGGAGGTTAAGTAACTTGCCATCCATCAGGCACACAGATAGTAAGTAGCAGAGCTGGAATTGCAACTCAGTGTGCCTGCCTCCAGAGCTCCTGGTGTTTAGTACTGGCCTAGAGTTGCAGAGCTTGGGAAGGACTTCACAGTGTTAGGAGAGGGAGCTGGTATTCTAGGCATGAGCAGAAACTGAGAAAGGAAAGCCAATGACTGATATTTTCTGTCTCTCAAAAAAAGGT